TTTGGAGTCTTGTACCAAGACCAGACCATAAGCACATCATAGAAACAAGATGGGTGTTCAAGAACAAACTTGACGAGAATGGGATCATAGTTCATAACAAAGCAAGATTGGTCGCACAAGGCTACAACCAGGAGGAAGGAATTGATTTTGATGAAACGTTCGCTCTGGTAGCAAGGTTAGAAACAATTAGATTATTACTTGATTATGCTTGTTCTATGAATTTTCAGTTGTTCCAGATGGATGTCAAAAGCGCTTTCCTGAATGGATACATCATTGAAGAAGTCTACGTCAAACAACCTCCGGGTTTTGAAGACTTCAAGAATCCCTCGCATGTTTACAAACTGAAAAAGACACTCTACGGACTGAAACAAGCACCAAGAGCATGGTATGACCGCCTTAGCAATTTCTTATGTGAAAAGGGATTTACAAAAGGAAAGGTTGACAAGAAGCTGTTCATAAAGAAGATCAAGGGTAACACCTTATTGGTTCAAGTCTATGTCGACGACATCATCTTCGGATCAACAAACAAAGAGCTTTGCGAAGAATTTTCACTAATGATGCAAGGAGAATTCGAGATGTCCATGATGGGAAAATTGAACTATTTTCTTGGACTACAAATCAAGCAAACAAAGGATGGCATCTTCCTCAACCAATCCAAGTATTGCAAGGAATTGTTGAAGAAATTCGATATGGATAGTTGCAAGGTGATGTCCACTCCTATGGGATCCAGAATGTGCGTTGATCAAGATGAATATGGTACTCCAATTGATATTACAAAATATTGAGGTATGATCGGTTCATTATTATATTTGACGGCAAGTCGTCCTGACATTATGTTTAGCGTTTGTTTGTGTGCACGCTTTCAAGCAAGTCCGAAGGAATCACATCTCACTGCCGTGAAGAGAATCATAAAGTATCTCAAAGGGACAACGAACGTCGGATTATGGTATCCAAAAGGTAGTACTTGTTCTTTAATTGGTTATTCTGACGCTGATTATGCAGGATGTAAGACCGATAGAAAAAGCATGAGTGGTACGTGTCACATTCTCGGGAATGCACTAGTGTCATGGGCCTGCAAGAAGCAAGCATGTGTGGCACTCAGTACAGCCGAAGCGGAATATATTGCAGCAGGAAGTTGTTGTGCACAAATTCTGTAGCTCAAGCAACAACTCCTCGATTATGGTGTAGATCTCGGTTGCATTCCTCTTCGATGTGATAATACAAGTGTCATCAATATTACAAAGAACCCGGTCATGCATTCAAGGACAAAGCATATAGATATCCGGCATCATTTCCTTCGAGATCACGTACTTAATGGAGATGTAGATGTTACTTTCGTCGATACACACAATCAACTCGCCGACATCTTTACCAAACCATTGGCGAAAGAACCGTTCTTCAAAATTCGACGAGAACTTGGGATTCTCAATGAAGGTGATATCTGATCTTTTCTCTGGTTTATGCATGCATAATGTATTTTTTTCCAATGTTTGTGCATTCTGTTTTAAGCATTTTTCCAAAATTCGCGTGTGTTAACCGATTAACCTATATGGTTAACCGATTAACACTGTTAAAATTTTCAAAAATCAGAAACGAAAAATTAATTCAAATTTTGGAAAATGTGTGTGTTAAACGTGTTGTTATGTGTTGTTGTTTTTATTGTTTTTTCTTTCAGATTATGTTTAAGTTTGTAAGTTTTTAATTTCATTTGTAACCGTACAATGTTTGCTGCATTTTTCTATGTGTTGCATTTTTATTTCGATCTATTTTGTTGTGCTTGATTATATGCTGTCATGTATGTCGATATTGCTTTTGTTTTGGTTTTGAAAGCTCCTTCCTTTTTGCTAATGAAAAAGGGGAAGAAGAGCTTGGTTGTCTGATATCTCTTTGTGCAGAATTTTTTTGCGTCTGTTTAGATAGGGGGAGTTGCTGGACATAGGGGGAGAAGCAAGCCAAGAATAGAACCAAACATCGTCAAGGATATCGCACAGACTCAGTTGTTTGTCATCATCAAAATGGGGGAGAATGTAGAAGCACACTTCAATCTCAAGGTTTTGGTGATGTCAACAAAGTCTTAAGCTCATTCCATGATTGCAAAAAGTCAAGCTGTCAAATTGATCAAGATACTTACACTATATACCCGTGGAGGTATATGCACTAAGAAGCTGCTTGCACTATATACTCGTGGGGGTATATACACTGAAGATAAAACCAGAAGCATATCATCTATGGAATGTTGTCATACAAATCAAGCTTCATGTGCAAATGTTCATACAACTTTCAAGATTTGGACTCAAGCTTCGGTATATCAATATTCACTCCTTTAATTGATGTACAAGTGTTCAAATAATTTATCATATCAACATTTTGCATATGCATGGTTTTAAAATCATTTGGAATTGGTATAACACTTTTAACTCAAGTATTTTTCTGAGTTTGTTAACCGATTAACCATATGGGTTAATCGGTTAACGGCCTTAAATTTTGAATTCTCAGGGCTAACGTTCAAGTGTTAACCGATTAACCTATATGGTTAACCGATTAACACTGAACGAATTTTGAAAAATTGTTTCTTTTTAAATTCAAATTTTGTTTGAATGTTATACCTTTTCATTATTTGATTCATACTCAATTATACCTTTTTGAAATGATGTTTTGCTCATATAAATTCTGAAAATTTCAAATTGAAAAACGACCTCCAAGATTTTTCAAAATAATCATTCAATCAAACTCACTACTTTTCAAATATTTTCAAAAAGTGTTCATACTGTTCATACCATTTCATATCCAGAATTTTGAACACTTGTATTGATATTGAAAAGTGAATTATGATCAAAAGGAGAAGGTCAATCTTTGTATTGATATTACTATCATATCACTCTCAAATTACAAAATTACAAGAATTATTTCTTTGTGACATGTGATTCAGGATTGTTGAACACAAGGGTTAGTGCTTGCAAGAGGATTGTTCTTGCACACTAAATTGTTGAAATAGTTGTTAGATAGTAGGCCTCATCGGTTGATGGTGTGATAGGTTGTACATTCTAAAACTATAGTGAAAACTCTCTTTCATGTGGAAAGGGGAGTGGAGTACCTTCAGATTGTGAAGGGAACCACTATAAATCTCTGTGTTCATTTTCATTCTGCCTTTACTACTTTCATCATCAAGATCATAACCAAGTAAATTTCAAGAATATCGAAAAACCGGAAAAAGTTTTTAAAGCCTAATTCACACCCCCCCCCCCCCTCTTAGGCATACTCTGAACTTACACATGCCTAACAGCATGCTCTGCATAATTATAAAGTAAGGGGGTGTCAAGTGGTCCTCCTGGATAACTCTTTAATGCGACATCTGAATCAGCTTTCGCCTGGACTTTAAGGGTTCATGGTTAACAGGGGCCTCAAGAACCTCAGGTTTTGCTGCATCATATGTCTGAGATGTCGAGGAGAGTCGGTTACGAGAATTAGACGGGTAGGAACCTTGGGGCTATGAAGTAAATGCATCATCAAAAGAGTTATCAGCAACTCGTGGCCTCGTGGACCTCGCTGCGACCCTCTCACGTCGTACCGACGCAGTTTAGGACACATGCCCGAGCCTAATCCGACCAATATTGTCTTCAGTCATTGCACCTACGTTAGAAAAAGAGACAAATATAAATAGCATGTTCGAAGAAATTCACAAAATCACCTAATTTTCCGCCTGAGTCCAATCCATGAATGCATCTTCGAAAACAAATCAGAGCAAATTCGAATATGTATCTCCGAACAAACCTGTGATGGTCCCCCATGGCAGCAATCCATTTTCTGCCCTAGAAGTTCTAAAAAAACCTCAATACATGTTGTTCTAACAATACCAATTTTGTTTACACTACTACTTAATACCTAAAGCAGCTAACTAAAAATCAAAATATAAAAGTAAATAGATTCTTTTAAAATTTACCAAATAAATTTGATGAGAAGTAGAAGAATGAATGTTTAAGATGTTAAAGGAGGAGAAAGAGCTTTAATGATATCAACTTGAATGAATGGATGAGAAATAAAATCGTTCCAGAACTCAAATGAATTTTTAGTACTTTTGAAAAAATGAAGGAGGAAGAGGGGAGGGCCTGATGCGGAATATGAAAGAATAATGTCTAAATATGTATTTTTGTACCAACCACACATTTTTGAATAAATGATATTTACGAGATGCATTTTTAGACACTTTTTGCACATGCAGATACGTCTTCATACACGCTTTTTTACACGTACGGAAATATATTTTTAGATTAAATTTTAACGAAAAAGGAGTGTCTTTTTTATTTGGCATGAGAAATGGCTAAAAAAGATACACCCGAAAATGCTTCTTTGAACATTAGAAACATTATTAATTTTTGAAAGAGGTGTGAAAGCACCCATAAAGATGAAAAGAGAGGATTTCCCTTAATAAAATGACATGATATCCATGCTAAAATTGGCCCCAAAGGGAGTATAAAATGATTATATAATTAACTCATGCCCAAGAGTATGCCAAAAGCATTTCGAGATAGTTACAGCTAAAAACAAAAAAGTTTACTTGAATCTTTTATGGAGCCAAATAAAACACTGAATTAGTACAAATTTCACACTTTTAACAATTTTTCTTCGTAATGTGGAAGTTCCAAATTTATGTATACAAAGAAAGCCAAAGCTTTAATTTCATGATTATTGATAATTGTCAGTAAACACTGTAATTTAATGAAGAATCATAACTTTTGTTATCTAATAAATCCAAAGCAACAAACAGGAGAGTAGCATGGAACAAATGAAACAAAAACTGAAATGTCTTAATTATTTGGGAAAAGGATGATGCCAGTCTCAGCGGCAGGTATTTTACACAAGCCAAACTTCCAATCAGGCCTACGAAAAACAAAATCACAAAGAATACTGCCGTGTAATGAGAAACACCGATATCTCACCTTCTAATCTTTCTCTATTCTCTTTTTTTTGTACTATTTATCTTTTTAAGTGTCCAGAATACTTTAGCAAGTCCAAGAAGATGATCTTTTAATCACTGGTTTCATCTGCTTGTCTTCTTCAAGGGAAATCATCCCCAAGTGTGAGGGATCCTCCAGCATCATCTTGGCCACCAGATAACCTGCAATAGACCATGTTTGGTATTTCCTTGCCTGTTTGCCAACATATCTTCCAAGTTTACCATCATAATATTCAGGCCATCCATCCTTCAGCAAACGACTCTCAGCAAGTTCAATTGCACGTCTTGCTATTTGCGGTCGCCCTGTCTTGATGCAAGCAGCTGTTACTAGCCACAGGAGCACTGTATTCAAGCAAGAAACAAAATGAAATGGATAGTCGAAGAAGAACACCAAAACTATTAATGTTTGTCAAAAAAAATATTAATGATCAAAATGTCTGTGCCTCGAGAAGGAACAGTCACCCTACTGAACCGCTAAATAAATCTCACCCATAAATACCAAATTAACTACACAGCATTCTCTATAAAGACAATTGAGAACTACATCAATAACTAGGTACTTAATAAATGTTATAAATGAACTTTGAATTACTAAGCATTATTAGAGAAAGAGAGAACCTGGCCAAGATCCTCCATTATGGTAACTCCATCTGGTATTTTTGGGATCACAACCGGTAACAATTCGCCACTCATGACTTTCTATTGCAGGGTAACTAATTTTTAGTGGCATTTCACCGACCAACTCATCCCAACGAGCTTCAATAAGATCCATGATTGCCATTGACTGATCTGGAGTTGCTAAAGAAGAAAGAATTGCAACACAATTGCCTAGAGCAAACCATCGAAAATCCATTCGAGCCGGACTGACATTTCCAATAAAGTAGCCACCTCGTGTTGGCATAAAGTCAAACACCCAATCTGGAATTGAATCCGGAATAACATTAAACTTATTTACTGCAGTATGTGAGTACTCTTCTGTCTTGTACCGATAAATGTCATTTAGTTGCTGGAAGTCAAGCCAAAAGTAGCTTCTCATGTGAAAACTTAGGGCATGCAGGCGCTTCACAACACGCTCTACACATTCCTTTCCATCAGCGGTATCTTGCTTGAGCATTGACAAAGCGCATCTCAATGCCATGAAGAAAAGTGCCTGAATCTCTATAGGATATCCATAAACACCCTGCAGGAAAAAGGAAACAATTAATAGTGTATGAAAGTTCTTCAAAATCACCCCCAATATGAGTTGAACCTCAACTTCATCAAAGAATTGAAACTATATTAAGAGTTAAAAATTATTTGTAAGGATCTTTTTTCTTGTAATTCTCAATGATGCGTTGCCACAACATTAGAAGAAATTTGACAAAGTTGTAGAAGACTAAAAATTGTAATAACAAAACTAATTGGATTTGCATATCCTTGAATCATAAATTGGAAAATACGGATTAAATAATAGAATGCAATAAACACCATCAATATACGGATTAAATTACATGCTGTGAAATAGCTGCATATTAAGCCTTACCATTCTTCGATCAATCATGCTGCATCCATCAGCACAAAGCAAAGTTGGGAATGTGTCAAACCCCTCTGAAAGGCATAGAGTCAATATAAGTTTCATTCCTTTTTGACAACTATCGGATTCAGATAGAGTTAAATCCCCAGTAGATTTTGTGTAAGCACGAAGTAAAATGATCCACCAGAATCCAGAGTCAACAGGAGCTACTCTTCCAATTGCACTTTCACCAAAATCTGCAATAAGAGTATCTGTTTTCCTAACTGCATCATGAAGGACTTTGAAACTAGCTGGCATCACACCTTCCCCAAGCTTAAATCGATCTACTCTTTTTTCCCACCCTTGAAGATGCAGTGTCTTTAATAAGAAGTTCTTTACTATGTCTGGTTCACCATTCATCAAAAAGGCTAGAGCACTTGGAACAAAATCTCGAACAAAAACCTAAAAAGAATAACTTCATCATCAAATATCATACTCATTCTTAGATGTTCTCCATCACTGTAAAAGTATAAAGAATAAGTCCACTGCTTTGTGGAGGCAACAATTAACACAACTGCAGAGCTTCTTATCTAAATCAATAATAATTCACTAACAGAAAATATAGCATACAAGTTTAATAGGATATACACAAGGGATGTCAAAAGTAATTATAAGACGGGCAAAACAGAAAAGTTAACACATCCAGGAATTTATGGCTATTGAGATTTGAGAACTAAAGGCACCAAAAACTGCTGTCTTAAGGTTATCTTTTAATGAATCATTATCACAGTTGTGATTGTGTTTATTTATCATGTTTTAATTTTCTCTAGTCCTTTTTGTCCTTTTTGGTTCTTTGCTGAGCAGAATTTTCACCAGCTCTAACCTAAGATTGTCATCTTCAAACCATGAAGGAAGCTAGGTTGTTTGTTAAAGAAAAGATTTCCCTGAATAATCAAACATCCATATACAACATTCATTTCTATATTTTAAGCATAACGAATCAGTAAAAATCAAATATATATATATATATATATATATATATATATATATATATATATATATATATATATATATATATATATATATATATATATATATATATATATATATCAGAGCACCTATTATAGGTCTTAGGTAGTATTATTAAATCCATTATATACTTTTGGGTTATACTAAAGTAAGAACGTATTTATAAAATATTGTTATCACAGATTGTATGATAGAATTTCATAAGACCCTTGATTTATATAGTATTTCAAGTTCTCGTGGCACATGGAAACCCAGTATTGTCGATGGCAGAAGACAGTCCATGGAGGAGAGCCAAAATACTGCCATAACAGCTACATTGCGGCACCGTTACAGCGGACGAACCCGCAATATCGGCCAATATTTACCATAGCGGCGAGCCGAAAAACCTCCATGTATATCCACCATAGTGGCCATGGTGGCGCTATTTGATAACACTGTGAAAACCTTTAGCAATAAATGTAAATCATACATAATATACATCATAACCCATTTCCAAGTATAGAGTAAAATTATATCCAAACTAAAAAGCATATTCAGGACAGCTTAATTTATTGCAGCTTGATTAGAATATTAAAGCTTCAATGACTGACATGGTTGAAAATTAGTGTACATATTGGAATATTGAATTTAAGTACTTATTAAGAAATTCACCTGGTCATAATTTAGAACTTCCTCAGACTGATGATCCACAGCTGCAATTGTGCCGACAGGTTGGCCTTTGAAATAGACTAAAGATTTTCGAAGAGATTCCCAAGCATCGGCAACCATTGGATGAGGCTCAAACGAGTTCCGAGTAGATGAAGCAGGTGTATTAAAACCAGATCTTCCTCCAGGCGAGCAATTGTCATAGTTATCCAATCCCGCCCTTGCAAAACCAACAGACAGTTCACTAAGGGACCTCTCGTCGAATGATCTCTGTCTCTCTATGTTTAGCCTCGGCTTGTCAAGCAACCGAGAGAGATCAAAGTCGTCCATCTCAGAGATCGAACAGTGAGAGCTGATTTTCCTGATTCCACCAGGCCCATCCATTTTTGCAGTAATCAAATGACTTTATCTGGAATAGATCTTTTATCTACAATCAAAAAGTGAGGAAAAAATAGGATCCAATGTTAAATGCAACAAAAAATAGCAACTAAATCTATAATAAAACAAAATCATATAAAGTAACGGCACAGGAAACAAAACAAACACGTACACAGTAACACTCACAAGTATCAGAACCATTAAAACACCATTACAAAATCCTTATTAATTACTGAGCTCTAGAAATAGGAAGAAAACTCAGAAAGTAAAACCCAAAAACTCTTCTCACTACATTACTGGCGAAACAAAAAATAACGCATTAAGAAAAAAAACAAGTAACAGATCAAGATCCATAATATGACAATTACGACGCCACCTAACAACAACAAAATCGAGAGAAAAAAAAAGCATAAAAATAAAATCATGACTTCTACAATGTAAAAACAAGCGCTAACTCATCAGCACGTAGAAAAATATACAGATCTGACAATACGAGGAGAAGTAAACGATGCTGAGAAAAAAACAAGTAGAAAAGAGAGAGTACCTGAGGCAAGATTGAGAAAGTAGCGCGTAGTGAGATCTCCCGGCGTAAACGACGGTGGCTGCCGGCGATTTCGCCGGAAATTTGTATGAAGAAAAATTTGACAGAAAAATTAGTAGGGGAAAGGAAAAAATGAGCAAGTGAAAGAAAGGTTATATTTATAGTCGACGACGGATGGTAGAAAGTGAATCCCAATGGACCGTACCGTTTTTATCTTTTTTATTTTAAAGGTTTACTTGATATAGCCGGTTGTAACAGAATTATTACCGGCGCGATCCACGTGGGTAAGACCACACCGTTTTGCTCTCTCTCTGTTTCTACTTCGAGATTTCGAAAATGGATTATGGGAGCCAGGACTGCAACTACGATTGGGTATTTATATTTATTATTTTATGGGATAATGCGATATTATTCAATGGCAATTAATTAAATGGGTTGGTGGGTGGATTTCGAATCAATTATTATTCTATGGGCAAGATAGTTACATTTCAACTTGTATTTTTCTTTCTTTTTTATTTTATAAAATAAATAAATGAGGAAAGAACCTCTCGAAAAAAATTTGAGGAAATAAATTGACTTTTGAGAAAGCGTTGATAATCAGGTTTTAGTTTTAGGGTGTGCATCATGACAATAATGTACATCATTGTCATTTTTATTTTTATTTTTTTTATTTTTTTATTTTAGTTTATTATTATTCGGAGGATTTTATTCCTGTTTATTTCTAAATTTGAAGACGAAATGCAATGTTTAAATAAGGATCTAGAATATTGGTCCAAAAAAGTGAATTGGTGTATAATATATTGGTCAAAAAAATCCAATTGATATTTTGATTTTGATTCAAAATGGAATTGGCATCAAGAATATTATTGTACGCTCCCATAAATTTTGGATTGGATTGGATAATAGATGTAAGAAAATTCCTCTCTTTTTTTCAAAGAATTTGATATTTAGGATTGGTTTTGACATTTTGAGTGTTTTAAGTAAACTGAAAATTAGTCTTTTTATAAAATTATAAATTGTAGACTAGTAATATTAATTTCATAATTAATTCTTTAAAAAATAAGATTTTTATAGTAATTTAAATTTGGTTACTAATTAGTAAAAAAGTGATTTATTTTGCCCCCGAATTAGTAAATTGTAGATAAGATTTTAATAATTTTAACTTAAAATGGTTATCTCAAAAGAATAAATAGTTGTTAAAATAGATAATATTATTCTATAAGTATTGAATCAATTTTAAAAATAACTAAACATATTTAAAGATAAGAATACCGTAAATTTGGATTTAAACTAAAATGTTAAAGTATCTTTAATAACTTTTTATTTCTTTAAATAAAAATTCACCTTCAAAATCAAAATCATCTATGACAATAATATTTTAGAGTTTCATAATATTTTACCGTAATATCATAATTGATTTTGGACTTGCAATATCAAAACAAAATGCAAAATATTTTATATATTCTATATTTTTTAGTATAATGTATTGAATATTATTTATATGTTAAAAAAATGAGTAACTTGATCATATATATATATATATATATATATATATATATATATATATATATATATATATATATATATATATATATATATATATATATATATATATATATATATATATATATATATATATATATATATATATATATAAAATCTGATTATTGTAAAAATTAAAACTAATTAAAATTAATTATTAACTTTTGAAGTTTTAATTCATTGAATTTAATTATTAAATTAATTTTTCGCTCTCTTTTATTGTAAATTTCGTAGTTTATGTCAAAAATATTAAATTCATGTCATATTTTAAAAGTAAATATATTTATTGCATTTTACTCATTATGATAACCAATTACAGTATTTTTAGAGATTTTTGAACATAAAATATGTTTACAGTTAGTGTTTTTTATTTTTAAATTAATAGATTAAAACTTATTATTATTATTATTATTATTATTATTATTATTATTATTATTATTATTATTATTATATAAAAAAGTAATTAATACATTAATTAAAATTGTTAATATATTTATATGTTAATCTGAAAAATATTTGCTACTAACATATACATTATCATTCTATTCAAAAAATAAAAATTAATAAATTAATATAATTATGTATTAACCAAAATTATTAATATTACTAGATAGTAAAAATATATATTTATGTGAAGGATTTTTATTATTATATAGTTATATTAATATTTTTATTATTATACAATTATATCAATGATTTTGGTTATAGTAGTAGAAAATATTTTTCAAATTAATAAAGAGTTATATCAACTATTTTATTTAAGATGCTAATTGTTTTTTATACAATAATAATAAATAGTTATATTTTAATTATAAACTATCAAATACCATTTATAAAATTATTTTATGTTTAAAAAATATAATAATAATTTTATATAAAAAAATATTTATTGCTTCTTAAGAATAATGATAACCACTTAAATTATTTTATTAAGTTTTTTAACATAAATAATTTTATCAATCATATTTATAATTTTATAATTAAAATATAAATACTTATTGGCATTCAATAAAAAAAATGACAATAAGTATAATATATAAACTTGTTAATGTAGTTATACAATAACAATATTTTCATAGGTTTTTATTTAGGTATTTATATATAATTAAAAACTAAAAAACATTACAAATAAAACTATTCTATGTTAGAATATTTTTTAAAAATAAATTAATTGCTTATCATAATTCTTAAAATGAACAAGTATATTTTTCTTGAAAAACAAAGCGAGTTGAATTTTGGCATAGAGTACATAAGTGTTACAAATGAAAGAGGATTATAGAAAGTGAAATTAATCTAGTTCATTAATTTCAATGAATTAAAATTCAATGGTTATATGATTAATTATTCATATTTCTCACAATAATTGGGTGTTCTCACTTGAATCGCTATATATATTACTAGTAAAAAAAATGCAAGTGTGTGTTCCATATGTAAAGGAAGAGGAACTCGGAGGCCTTAATGAGTATATTACGTTGTATGGTGGTTAAGACTGGTCCACGACAGCAAAAGTTATAGGTGATGGTGTTTTATATTAGTTTTAGGAGTCCTGCTCGTGTGAGGTAATAAGCCTTGTTAATGAGTGATATGTTTAGGTATAAGGGTATGAGGGGTGATTTGTATGGCTTAAGATTTGTTTTACTCCCACAGGAGGGGGGTATTGATCTTACCAGATTAGAAAGGGATCAGCAGTCTGCCACGCGTCGTGAGCTCCTGTGTTCACTGGTGTTTAAGAGAAGGAGAGGATGTACCTGTAAGTTACTCTGATGCTAAAATGAGTAACAGAGTTAAAGAGAGAAAGTACAGAAAAAATGTGTAGAATTCAGAATACTTGACCCTCTAGTGAAATAGGGTATTTATAGTGTGCCCCCGGCGTTGGGCCAACGGTCACTTTGCATTGGGCTGGATTGCTAGGCCCAACACAAGCAACTATCATGGTCTACGTGGCGTAGGGAAGACCAGCACGTGGTCTTCACCCTGATCCAACTGCCACGTGATCTTCGGAAGATGGAAGACCGGTTCTTTAGGACACGGGCAGTTTCCTGATGACGTTTCCTAGAGTGGAAAACATGTGGAGAACGTGAGAAAGATGCGTGAGCTTTTGTCGTGCTAGGCAATGGCCTGCCCGACAGTAGAGTGTGCCCAACAAGGAGGATTGGGCCTTGATGGGCCTCCCCAATGTGATATTGGGTTGGGCTTTCCCGACTGTGGGGTAGGTAGTCGTTGCTCATAAGTGAAAGAGTAATGACTTAAGCGTCAGTCCCAACGTCGAGGATGACGGAAGCGGCCAGGTGTCGAGCTTCTCCATATTACGGGTGCTCTCCGGGAGCCGTGTTTGCCTGTTGCGGTCATGTGTTGTTCTTAGTGTCCCCGACGGGGTACTGAGACCGCGGGCCCGCCCGCGTGGGAGATGTTGGAGGGGACGGACACAAACAATTTCGGGCAGAAGAGGAATCGAAACGGGTTCATGAGGTGTCTGGTGATGTCACGTGTCAGAGCAATTAATTCCTAGGGTGGCTAGGAGTAGGGGCACTCGAGTGCCTAGGGAAGCCTCGAGTCCCGTGCTAGGATTATAAATAGGGGGTGAGTGTGTTTCATTTGCACGTTTTCCTTCTTCTGCTTAAGACTTTTCCTATTATCTTTTTACGCTCTCTCTCTCTCTCTTCGCTCTCGTTCGTATGTCGTCCGTCGTCGTCGCGTTGCCCAAAAACCGCCGTATCAAGTAAGTTTTTGGCCGCATTATTTTATTTTCGTGCATTTTCCGACGGTTTCTCCGGTGACTTGATGAAGTTCCCGGGGAAACTACGAAGTTCCCGGGGAAACTATGAAGTTTCCAGCGAGTACACCAGAACTTCGAATTTATGACGTTTCTGATGAAAGCCTTGGGGACTTGCGATGAGTGCTCTGAGAACATAAGACTAAGGTC